CCTATTTTGGCTTGATGTTTTTGTATTTTCATTTGGAAATTCGTAAAAGCCAGATGACGCACTAATGCGCATGAATAATTTTCGTTCCTTGAGTTCGCATGGATAAGCATGGTTTCTTTGATGCGGCTTCGTGGTTACTGAGAACCTTGACAGGCTTCTTTGGCATGGTCTTGGAATTCTAATATTAACTGGAATAGGTATTCAAGTACCTACTCTAGCAAAAATGAGAAGGGAGTGATAAGGTCTTGGTCAGGTGAATTTACGAACAATTTGAGGAATTATAAGCCCTCTTGAGATCTTCATTAATATTTAGCTAAAGGACAATGTAATAAAAGTATTTTATTACAATAAAATTTTTTTTACATTTTTTTATAATGCAGTTTAAAAAACAATAGCTAAATAAAAAATTGAAAACATTCTAATTTTAAATATTTTACTCCAAAATTCATAATAAACCTAAAATTAAAATGTTTGCATCCTGACGTGAATTATTGTAAAATAAATTTTATTTTTAGTCTTAGAATAACAATGAAATTCAAAAGATGTATTGCAAAAAATATTTGGCAATAATACAATGGCAGTTAATGATATGAAAATATTAAGGATTCAAGGATTTTTGACGTTATTATTCCTCGTTGGTGTTCATCGTTTATCTAAGGCTGGACCAGGGTGATAACCCTCGGATAAAATACGACATGACATTCAGAAAGACCTTAGATAATCGATCTCCGTTAACCTGATAACCGCGTGAACGTTTTCATGCGTTGCCAAAGCGTGGCGATCAAAAACCCTTGGAATCTGCATGCAAATGGATCGTAGGATTATTCACGGGTTGAGTAAACGTACGGATTTCGTCAGGATATTTTTTTTGTTCTCATCCTCTCGTCTTCGTACACGCACGAACGCCCCTGAATGACGATGATTGACGTAGGCCATCGACAGCGGGCGCGAGACTTTTATTCCAATCCCACTCTTGTTTTCTAGACACCCAACAAAGTTCCCTCCCCTTTTTACTCAGGGATGGAACTTTGAGAGCCCTTGAACTTCGCCACCCCACTCATTACTTTGGCATTAACGTAGACAGGGGATGATTTTTTCTCCGGAGCTCATCTCAACGACAAGACCGCCTGCCGAGAGATCCTGCCCTCTTCAGCTTACTCTACCCCAGAAATCCGAATTCATCCGGATTCTCCGATAATGAGTGTATCTGCGCGACGATTTGCTACGAGATCTCCAACAGAACTGAACAAATCACTACAAAAAATTCTTTCTTTTCATATCAACTTTATAATAATAGTTTTTTCAGAGATATTGGAATGAGAAATTGAAATGTTTCTATATGAAAATCTACTGTTTTTCATTCTCAAAATAAATAGATGAACACAACTCTTCAGCTTCACATAATAAGTTAAATATTAAAATTGAAAAATAATTTAAACATTTCCAATTCTAATGAAATGTTCTAATATCCATGGATCTTTTTTTGTTCATATTTTGACCTTAACTGTCCATCTATTGGTGTATTCACGTGCTCGGTCAAGGCCATGAGAGAATATTATTTTTTCAGAGGTTTCTCATGCTGAAAAAAGGTCAAAAAAGGATTCTCAATTTTTTTTCTTCTCATAATTCACAAATTTCTACATCATCAGCATAAAAATTTCAAGCTGTTAAAATTTCGCAACAAAAAAAAACCCAGTTGCAAACTAGTTTTTTCTAAACCTACCAATTTTACTAAACCATTTCCAATCGATATAAAGATATATATTTCAAAATCAGCTAATTCATGTGTAAATGAAGCAAGGTCAACAGATCAGCAGCTGTGATGAAGCCTGTAGGTATACTAGCCAAGCAGCTTGCTGATTCATTGGCAAATTAGAGACTTCCTCCTGTGAAGATAAACCACAAAAAGTGAATACCAGTTTTCTCATCGTATTTTTGGATAGTTTACAAAAAATCAAACTCTTGTGTAATGACATGGAAAGATTTAATCTCGATAAAAATCTCATGTTTTTCCAATGACGAATTAGTTAATTATAGCGAAGCGATGATTGAAAAATAAAATAGCATTGATATTTCATTTTTCTCTTGATATATCAAGCGTAAAAGTATAAAAATAGTAGTAGTGAAGGACAGATAATTAATGCAGTATTAACAGCTCTTGTATAAGTCAGAGATCAGTGACCCATGGAGAAACGATGTCAGATCCGCAATTATATTGTGCATGTGGCGTTGAACCGACACGCGTGTGAATCCTTGGACTCTATTCCGACAGAAATGTTTACGAACGTGTGCTGTGAGCTATTCGCACGACACAAGGAGACGACAGTTGAATTAAATGGACCCGCGTGCTTTAAAGTTGTTGTAGTGAAAGGCGGTGGTCGCACAACTGTCTTGTGAAAATGTCACATCGATTGTGCGTGCAGCTATGTCAATAGGCATCGACTTCCCTGTCCATTTCTCAACTTCTTAAACAGAATTTTAATTAGTTTATTTAATAAAAATACTATAAGTCTTTTAAGAAAATCAACAAATACTTGGACGTCATTAAACAAGACGCTGACACATTTTTGATAGACACTTATACCCTTAGATAGCTTTTTAATGATCAAATGTAGTAAAAGGATCTAGTTTGAAATCTCACTCATTGTCCATTTCAATTCTAATGCCTTTAATCGTTTAATTAAAGAAATTTATTTATTAAGAATAATTGATAATTTATAATCGTTAAAAGGATTTTTTTTTTTCATTTTGCAATAAAAAATTAGTTATTTCCGTGAGAATGTTAGTTTTTTAATGTTGGAATAATTCTATTGTAGAAAATTATTGATGTGGAAGAAAATTTCTTATCAATTCCTTGGTAAATAAATTTCTGTGCATAAAAATGAACATTTGTTCATGTCTTATGCAAACAAATAAATATTTCAACGATTTATTAAGATTTAATTTAATTAATTTCTGTAATAAATAATTCTGTCCAGATTTTCGCACTTATTGAATAATTTATTACTTTTATAACTACAGCAATGACTCAATGATTTAAATAACAAAAAAGATTTCTCAATACCACTAAAGTTTAAACATTTTTATTTCTATTCTTTACAATTTATGACCTTGGGGTATTCAAAAGGATGAATATTAAAAAAAAATTTACAACAACTTTTAATAAACCATCTTAAAATTTAATGTCTTCTTTTTTTTTTTTTAATATACAAAACTACTTTTGGTAAATTAAAAAAAAAAAAAAAATGAAATATACAGATATACATATTTTTTAGAAGCATTAATTAAGCTTGACATATTTTTGATCATGCATTCACAAATAAGATTATAAAAAATGTAAAAAGGAGAGGCATTAACCCGCATTTATACCTGAGGCGAGCAATGAGATAACATGCAAGCGAGCGGCGTGTTGAATCGCTTGACGTTATTGACTGGGACGCACACTCGACGATGCCGGTGGCAACGTCCGACGTGATCGCCAACTAGCTCAAGGCAAGAGAGCATTGGCACTAGAACTATACAAGTTTCCCCACTATTTACGTCACTAAGTTCGTGCACCTCTCGATGCATACATCTAACTCCTAGATGTAGTGACTGCAATAAACGAGCATAGAATGTAAAGGAAACATTTACAAACAGTTTTAACGAAATGTAATTATTTTATAGCTAACAATATATCATATTGTTAGATTTAGTGATTCGATCGTCGACGAGTAACCCTTTTAAGGGGGTAAAATATAATTATCATCCCTTTTAGCTTGCCACGTGTACTCAGAGAAGCTTTATAACTGTTTCTGTCTCCTTGGTAACTGTTAAATATTCGTACTCACCTCCCTTATACTCTGTGTTTAAATATCATGTAGCTCTAGATGTGTTTCCATTCTCATTTGCGTTTTACGATCAACTGAGAAAATAATTTTGTTATTGGTGAATATATTAATACTTATTTATCTCCAGAGTAAATGTTTATTTTACTCCAGAAAGAGTTGAGCGACAAAATTACCCTTTAATGACATGTAAAACTGAAATATGAATTTAGATCTCTTTCATTTGCATAATGTTTAAAACAATATTTACCTCTATTTTCGTGAGTATTTTTTTCTTCTTTGAGACACAGGTGCTTTTTTTCTTTGACTTCTCTATAGAGCAACTATTAATAGGATGCTTGAAAGTTAGATTTGAAAAAGGAATGTTAAATAGAAGCTACGATTCTTGATCGAAGTGTCAGGTGCAAATTCACGTTTCGTTACTTTGATTCATTGAGTAGCTTGCATACGGATTGCAATCTATGGACATATATATGTATATATAGAATCAAACGATTAATCCTCTTGACAGATTAATATCCGCCAGAATTGTAAGGAGGGGTTAAAACGAAAAAATCAAGAAATAAATTCTCCAAGCAACATCGATAAATAACATGTGTATCAAATGAAAAGCGAGATCAACACAATCTTTTTCATCTACTAGCTCAACTTTTTCAACAGATTGATATCAAGTGCCTCCTATAGTTCATGTTATGTATCAATTAATGACAAACATGTTTAACTGTAATGATTACTGGATGTGATATAATCACTACTTTAGATCGATTATTTTTTCTGGAGAAAAGTGTATAGGAACTAAGTCTTCATGATACTGAAATAAAAAAATTTTATTGGTTAAAAAAAAAAATTTTTTAGCGTAATGCAGTAGTTGCTGAATAATTATTAAAAACAAGTCTGGTAAGTCTGGTGCAACATTGTATGTATGTTGTATTAATTAACAATTCATTTTTGAGTTATTGATGATTGAAAATAATTAGAATCCTTGAGTGGCTTTAATTATACTTTTCTTCAGACTTTCTTGATTTATTCACTCAATTACCAGTACATTAGTTGAGGAAAGTTTTAAAGAAATTGTTGATCTGTTTGAATTTTTTTGAAAGATATTATTATCGAGTAGAGAAAGATTATAATATACGTATGGTTATATAACAAAAGCAATAATGGAAAAATTTATTATTTTATCTAATCGATTGAATTATTATTAAATACGAAAACTAAAACCATCTGTATCACTTTAGGTATTTATTTTATTAATTGCCTGTTTCTTATCATTTTTTTTTTCTTTTTTTTAAGAACTTTTTTTTTTCTCATTCGTTTCCTCTTTGTTCTCCACTCTTTAGTAATGTCATCTGGTTCTATCATTCTGAGATAATGTAATGAAACTTTTTCAAATTCTTCGCGTGTCATCTTACCTGGATGTCCAACTGAAAATAATACAGAAAATTAATTTTTCTTATCTTCTAATTAATTTTTTAAAGCATCTAGTCAATTTCGTTGCAAAAAATAATTCACATATCCATTCTTACGTTTATCATGATCTAATCCAATTATAGTAAGACCTTTCTCTTGTCCGTCAATTGTATTAACTAATAGATGTTGTTGCTGAGGAGAATCATGATGTCCATTAGTTACAGAACTTTGCTTTACTAAACTGGAATTTTTTTTTACCACGTCATTTTGATGTTGATACTTATTTATGTCTTGGTTTTTTTCAATATCAAGAGTAGAAGCCCCTAAAATATTATTTTACAATAAATAATCTTCAAAATTGAATAGAATATTTATAAAAAAAAATTTAATAATTATTAGATTTAAATTCATAAATAAAAATTTCTACTTACAAAAAAAGTTGATTGTGGTAAGTAACAAAACGATAGTGAAATCATTCTTGAACATTTTTACAATGATGTTATAAAAGCCTGGATGAATATGTATTTATATAAAAGCCCCCTCATTAAGAGACATTAAAATCGTCGATTAAATTAATTATAATGTGTTTGATAAAAATGGTGTAACACTTGTAAATATGTACATTTAATTATTCATTCAGCATTAAATTAATTTTTGAAACGTGAAATATTTTTAATTAAAAAAAGTGTGCTGAATTTAAAATTTTTTGTCGTTTAGAAATAAACTATGATATATCTAAAAAATATACAAATATCATTCAGTAGAGATAAATATTAATTATACAATAAAAATAATATTTAATAAATTTCTGAATAATTAAAAAAAACCTGCCACACAGGTCTGTCTATGATTCAGTAATATTTATCGATTGAAAAATATATGTCTATCGTATAAATTAAATTCTAAATTATTGAGCATTTAATTTACTAGCTAATCGAGTTGATTTTTTTTTAACAATACTTCCTTCATTCAAGTTATTTATTTGACTGTCAAAAATTTATGTAAGTGCCAAATTTAATTTAAAACTGTTTACAACATGTTGGATTAATTTAGTTATTTTTTGCAATGAGTTTCAGTCAGTTAAGCTTATCTTCTTTAAATCAAATGTACAATTATCAATTACCATAAAGATATCCTAATAAAACGTGAAATAAAAATGTTTGAGATTTCATTACAAAATCATTCAATTCATATACATATATAGTTATAATAACTGGTATATAATAAACCAGTTCACGAAAGACTAATTTTAGTCTCAGGACAACAGGCATTCTCAAGACAACTTGTAGTCATATTACGCACATAAATTACTGCATGCATTTATTTTTATTATATGGTGCAAATAAATAATCGAGAAATAATGCGGCCATGAGAGTATTGAGAAGCATTCAATTTTATTCCCATTAGTCGTAAAGTGTAAAACAACACTTAACTTTAATAACTTTGTTAATAACTCGCTTGACAAGAATACATAGCATTTATTAGTTGCAAAAAATGTTTATTATATATAAAGAAGTATTCAAGTTACATAAATGTGGGCTTTAAGTGTTAATATTATTTATAGAAGTCGATTAGTTCAGGAAATTTAAAATATTTTGAGGTGGGTGAATGTTATAACTTGTAAAGTCACTGATAACGACAAAATTTATTTGTTACACTTATAAATCCATTTTTTAGAAAATATTTTACTATGGAAAGTCAATCAGTTCAAGTTATTAGTTAGCTACTAACAAAGAATATTTTTGAAATGATTTTAAATAATTTTAATTATTGATTAGTATGACGACAATGCCATCAACATCTTCCAAAGACTCAACGAGAATCTAATGAATCTCAATTAAAATAACTCAATAAACGAGGAATCCACAATTTGGAGAAATTTTCATCAGCCATCAAACTAGGAAGATAAGATGGAAATATCGAAGAGTAAAATGGAAGACTTCATAACAAAAATAAGGGTGAAAACAGCACTATTGTGGGCATCGAATCACAATCATCTTCTATAGGAAGAGGGTCCAAAACAAAAAGTACGGGTGGTTCAATTCCCTTCGTTATAGAAAACTGTTCTACTGACCCGATTCACCAATCAGAACACTAGAAATAAGGGGAAGCTTGAGATGAAGCAGCAATGAAGTGAAAAGGGGCGTAAATTTGATTTTTTCATCATAAAGTGTGATTGTCAGCAAAAGTTTGTATAACTTTATACACCAATATCTATATATCTATACATGTTGAACAAAGTTAGGTTTGTTAATACTCACCTCTTGACTTTCACCAAGTGACGAAAGCTCCAGTCAAAAGCAGTCTGAAGTACACTCTCGAAGTGACAAATTTATTTGAGAATGAATCGAAGTGTTTCTCGTTCAAGAGTGATGCAAGCACGTTTCGGAACTTTGAGGCGCAAGATTTCCTCATCAAGCAACTTGTCAGTTGACAATTAATGTCCTATTAACGTCTTACTGAACTTTAATTACAAAGGTTCAATCAGTGAATAATTTGTCTTGTTAAAGATTCTTTTTTTTTTTGCGTTACCTAAAGTTCAACAAATTTGTAAAAAAGATGAAATTTATCAACAAGACCTTTGGAATATCATTTGTGTATATAGCTGATCATAAAATTTACTTTCCATCAAAAATAATGTAAATAAAATTATTTTTTATACCAAGGAAAAAAATTTATAAATAACATCACAGTCTAATAATGTTTGCTTCAAACTGGTCTTTGAGTATCTGATCAAAAAGTCTGCATTACCAAGTAATAAGAAAAAAACATCCATTGAAGTATCACTTGGTTGCCTGTTTGAAAAGATCCATCAACGATGTAAGATATTTTTAGGCTGAAATTCGCGAGAGAAAAGAGCTCAAGAAATAGAGCATTTACGAGGTCCCTGGTGGATTCCGTGGGAGAGACATTGGAGTCGACTGACGTACGTCGTAGTGATTCAGAAAGATAATCGCTCGTACTGGTGGGGATTTGATGAGTCGAGGGTAACTTCCTAATCTTTCTAGAAACAGACCAAGCGTAATTGCTATCGATCCAATGAATTAAATGAGAAACTCGATTATCATGGTAGTTATCTACCGACAAATATGATTGCTTATTTTTGTCAAGTCTTATATTTATAATCAATGATGACCACAAGTTCTTATCTCTATAATGAAAGTTTTATTCAACAAAGCAAATGCTCTTTTTCGTAGCCATACAAATATTACAATTAATCATTTTATTTAAAAATATATTGATTAATATTTATATACTTATTAGTTAATTAGCAATTAGTATGCATCATATTCTCCATCATAGTTGCCATTTTGAGCCAATTTTAGATTTCTGATTTTGCTTTGTAATGCTGCCTGGAGAAATGCAAGAATTTCTGAATATTCCATCACAATATCAATATCCTTTAGCTCATTTAATTGAAGAAGAAACATTGCAATTTCCGCTTGCAATTGATGATTATCATGAAAATTTCTATATCCACTAAAGTCATAAGGTGGTAAAAAATTATTGTTAGGTTCATCCATCGGTCCACCTTCATTCATATTTGGTATAAATTCATGAATTACTGTCTTGTAAGATGTTGATTCTAGGGCATCAGAATCAATATCAAATGGAATATTGTCTAAACATTTATTAATATTGACACATTTGCCTGTTTCATTTCTTCCAAATCCTTCAATACATTGGCAAGAAGGGCCTTGTACCTAGAATTAGTGATGCTTACTAATAATAGATTCAACAACTAAATAAATTTATGTAAACATCAAGTATAGTACTCACTTGATTGCATTCACCTTGAGGAAGTGGTCGAGCACAAGTTAGCTCACAAGCTATGGCTGAAGGATTGTAGAATTCATTCTCTGGACATGTTGGTGGTGATTCAGAGTCTGTGTAGTTAGTGGCAATTGTTTCAGATGTAATAGTAGTTGGTAATGCTTGGACCCCTGAAAAAATCAAATTATCATACTGAATATATGTCAAATCAATTTTTATTCTTTCACATCAACCAATAGTTTCTATGTTAAAAGCATTATTCCAGTAATTCTTTCTTTGATTCTTCGAAAATACATACAATAGTTTATTAATAATTAATAAGGATGATGAATAATATGTATAAATAAATGTTTTTTACTTACATAAAGGATTAGCAATAGCAAGAATAACGCAACAATAAAGTAGACTCCACATTTTTTTAAACTGAGCTTCTTATCGTTCCTCTGCTTTATATATCTTTCACCGTTGTTTTTTTTAAAACTAACTTTTTTTATGAAGTTAGTACTATTAATCTTTTTGAATAATTAATTTTTCAGCATTAGTGTTCCAATAACAGCCATTGTTACAAAGTACGTTCTAGAACTATTATTTTTTTTAAATGGTTATATGACACTTGTTAAAATAACACTAAAGTGTTGATAAGTAAGATTAAAATTTTTTTAGCATTATTAATTTATATTAGAACACCTGTGACTTTACTGAAGCTTGTATTTTAAATATTTTTATGTAAACTTGTGAATGTTAGAATGATTATTTTTACCGTTAAAGTCTTTATTGCCAAGGCGGAGTAAATGATAAATTTAGACTTTTAGAGTGTGTACATAGATGATATACGTCATCGTATATATTGGATTATTTAACTATTTTTCTTTAAAAATAATACAATTTTATTGTCGAATAATACCTCAATGAAAATTTAATTGCGATATTATGTTGTTGATTTATACCTAAATTTTAAGAAAAAAATATGATAGTAAAATTGATTGTTAATTAAAATTTGTCAATATTTGGAATACGTGAAGTGAAAAAAAAATCCATTATGATACCTTTATAATATAATTCTAAAATTGTCACAAATATTATTACATTTATCAAATGAACTTTGTAGAAGACAATTTCAAGGTGAAATTTATTGATAATTGTTATGCTTAAATTAAGTCAACAATTATTTCATTCCAAAACGAGGTATTTTATTATGATTTAAGATAAAGAATTATGAATATTAGCTATTAAATAAAAAAAGTATGGACATTTTTTTATTTAATTTCTTTATTAACAAAAAAAAAGTGACGTAAATTGATTTACGTAAAAAATTAATATGCTGAAAATAAATTACTACAATTATAAAAATATTTGGTAAGTTATTTGAATCATAAATACATTACACACTTGACCCAAGTGATTCACGCAAAAGTATCTCATAAGCTTGATAATTATTGTGATCATTTGAATTAGTAATATTAGTATGACGTACATTTCTTCCTGAATTTTGTTTTCTTCTACTATTAAGGGAATCTAAAAAATTTTCTAATTTTAGAGTCAGATACTCTACTACTCTATCCAATATTTTATTATCATCAAATAAAGTGGTATTTTCATTCTCTTGTAAACTTCCACTCTGAACTTCATTTACATTAGTATTTAATACCAACTCATCAACACCAAATTCCTCAGTAGAACAGTCAGTGAATAAAATACATCTATTTAGTTTA